CCGAAGGGGCGGACGAGGAAGAAATAACTCACAAGCTATATAATGTGTCGTAGTGGGTTTTAATATGTAATATGTCATGACTATGTTTTAATATGTAATATGTCAGGACTATGTTTTAATTTGTAATATGTGAGGACTATGTTTTAATTTGTAATATGTCAGGACTATGTTTTAATATGTAATATGTCAGGACTATGTTTTAATTCGTAATATGTCAGGACTATGTTATAATTTGTAATATGTCGTACTATGTTTTATTTGCACCTGAGATTTGTTGTTTGAATTGCAGATATGTCTTCGTATCCGTTGATTAATGGTAACATCGATAGAAAGCACCGGGGCGCCCTTACGGAAGCGGGCGACAACTTAGACGTGTTGGTCACTCGTACCCCAAAGACTAACTGACTGATACACGATTCATGGGTTGATAGGTATGTGTGCATATAATGGAGACCATATAATGACTTACTATGTTTGACATACTTTTCATAACCGCTAACAATCTCTTTATTTTGTAGGTTAAGTTGGGCTGGACTTCTACCCTTGGCACGGCTGGTTGAGGGTACATTGAATGAGTGGATTGATGGTCCGGACTTAGATGAGGCAGGTGAACCATTGCAGTTACACAAGAGGCAAGTGAAACGTTTCTCTTACGACAAGTCACTCCTTACCTGCTTAGTAGATAGATGGAGACCAGAGACACATACGTTTCACTTTCCTTGGGGAGAGATGGCGCCTACTTTACAGGATGTGTCTTACTTGTTGGGATTACCTCTGGCCGGTGCTGCCATAGGTCCCTTAGAGGCAGAATCTGGGTGGCAAGCACCGATGCAGACCCGTTTTTTGGTTGCGGTCCCGACTGCTAGGGCCATAGACAACGATCCTCATGGACCTCTTTTTAGATGGTTGAGCCAGTTTCAGGTAACCATCACGGCCACTTAAACAAATGTTGTTTTTTAGTTGTCCGATGTTCATACAATTAATACGTTTCTATGTAGATTGTCTCGTTAGGACATCCCGACGTTCAGTTGTCGGAGGCACAGATTGACCGGTCCCCAGAGGCATATATTCTTTGGCTGTTCGGCAAGACAATGTTTACGGAGAACCACATGACCACTGTCGGTGCAAGACTCATCGGTATTGCATGAGAGATAGCTGACGCACGTTGCCCTGCGGATATTTTACAGAGGAGTTTTGGTTCTGCTGTGTTAGCGGCTACGTACAGAGGCCTGTGCAAAGCTTACTTGTTAAAGTCTATAAAATCTAGTCTTGTTGGATGTCCATTATTGTTGCAGCTCTGGTCATACGAGAGATTCCCTATTGGACGACCCTATGTCTACGTTGATAAACCTTTTGGTTTGGAGGACTTAGCTGGGACTTATGTGCCTGCTATCAGCGACTTACCTACTATGGGATCTATTTGGACACGGCGAGAGGTACTTTTATATTAAGTAACAATTAATTCAATTATTTCTTGCCATTCTATAGTATTACTAATGCTTATTTGTTGTCATGCACAGAGACAGTTTGCGCATACTCAGGTTAGGGGATGCTACCCGTCCTTCATGGCGCAGTTTGATAGTTTGCACGAGGATCAAGTTATTTGGGAGCCATACTCGCCTTAGGCTATATCATCGAGGTACCCAGTTGGGATTTCTGGATTATGCACTAGAGATCGGCACTTTTGGATGACCAAGGCCAAGTTGGTGTTCGACGTGACGGTTGAGGAGATGTCTCTTCATAGGGTGATGAGACAGTTCGGTCTATATCAACAGCCTGAGATTTTAGATATTCCATACTTGCCAGACCACGTGCACAAGTAAGTACTAATACTATTTTAGTTGGCAGCTCTGCATTCATAATATACCTAATCATGTATCGCGCATGTCAATCTCAGGGACCGTCGCCTAGGAGGAAACAAGTGCATGGCTTATTGGCTTGAGAGCATTACCCCTTACGTTGACGAATGGACTACCGCTGCGACAAATATCTGGGGTGAGGTTCGGCCCTTTAACTGGGAAATGTCCGGGTTGTATCTGCAGCGTTACCGGCATACAACGAGGATCTATTTGGTTCTATCAGCTGCTCCTGATCAGATCGAAGCCCCTCTCACCAGCGATATGTACCCAACTGCTTCTGTTGTGGGAACCAGACACCACGCGGTAAATGCCTTGGTTCTCATATGTTAAGTCTTTTGTTAATCTGGACATATTTGCTTGGTTGTCTATTCGTGGTGTCTATCATACAACGAGGATATAATTCGTTCACTCTTTGTGTACAGGGTGACTTGACACTACAGGCGCGAGAGGAGGTTTCCGCTTTAATGCAGCGCTTTCAGAGGGGAGAAACTATCCCACCGCGAGAGGGCATCTCATGGTTGAGGCGTCTTGATGACAACCTACGCGGAATGTACGCAGCTGTTATGTGTAGACGGACTTCGGATGTTGCACTTCCTCCTCCAGCACATTGTCCGCCACGTCCCTTTGTACAACATTTAGAACCACGACCCTCCGTGCATCGTTCAGAACCACGACCCTCTGTGCACCGTGCAGAACCTCATCCTTCACAGCCAGGGAGATCTTCCTGGCATGAGCCACCTCCTTCACAGCCAGGGAGCTCTTCCTGGCATGAGCCACCTCCTTCACAGCCAGGGAGATCTTCCTGGCATGAGCCACCTCCTTCACAGCCAGGGAGCTCTTCCTAGCATGAACCACCTCCTTCACAGCCAGGGAGATCTTCCTGGCATGAGCCACCTCCTTCACAGCTAGGGAGCTCTTCCTGGCATGAGCCACCTCCTTCATAGCTAGGGAGCGCTGACTGGCAGCAAAAGATGAATCTAGGTAACACTACTCACTACATTCTTTTGAACAGTGTGGTAATCGTTCTTGCATTCTCAGCAGTCACTGATGCTTACTGGTGGTGCTTTGTTCATGCATTTGTATTAATTTTACTTTACCGCGGGCGGCAACCAGTCGCAACCGTTCATGCATTCAGAGTAGTCACCGATCCTTAGTGGTGGTGCTTCGTACTTTGAGGGCAACCACGAGGATGATGACCAAGCTACAAACATTTATGGCTTCTCACAGACAGTGTTTCACACTCCACCACCATCACCGACGCAGGAGACACAGACCGTGACAGACGAGGTTAACTATGGTTGTGGTTATCGCGAGCCTCGTTCACCGCCTCAGCGCTTATCGCCTTCCGGTCCTCGCCCGAGGAAGACCCAGACTCGTCGTCGTCCCCCGCAGTGATATGCTTATCTATCTATGTATGACTCATTATCTATGTTAGTTTCAGACTATTCGCAGCTGTGTGTCAGTATTTATGTATGAGACATGCTTCATGTATGTGTTACTATCGCACTTGCTTCTATGTGATCAGGAGACATATATTGTTTTATGTATGCGGGAGACATATTATTATTAATTCGCATTCTTATTCCAGTTACATTTCCAAATAGACTACAACCGATAATTAAGATACAAGTACATCTGAATTAAACGGTGCGGCTGAACTTGTGCAATACATTTTACATACTACAAAATGAAATTCAGATAGAACATAATGCCCTACAATAATACAATACAAACTAATAATGCAAATACATCTGAATGAAACGGTACAACTGGAATACATCTTACATACTACATGAAGTCATCATCGTCATCCTCCGTTGATGCAGCCCTCTTGCCCTTTGACGATGCGCTCCTCTTGCCCTTCGTCGATGCAGAACTCTTGCCCTTGGTCGATACAGAACTCTTGCCCTTCGCGGATGCAGAACTCTTTCCTTTGGACGATGCAGAACTCTTGCCCTTCGACGATGCAGAACCCGGAAGCGGCGGCATGAAGATATCATCTTCGTCCTCGCTCTCCTCAGTCCATAAAAATGGATGCTTTTCTACAGTCCTTCTGAAAGTTTCACTCTTCGGCTCCACCACCTTCTTCCACCTTTCATGCAACCTAAGAAGTTCTTAATGTACCTCCTCATAGGTCCTTTCAGGCCACCCAGACCTACGTAATTGGTGAGCCAACTCATTCATTATGGTGTCACTACCCGTGAGTTCGTCCCATGGAACTATCCTATTGTCCATCCTGAAATCGGTAGCTAGACTCAGCAGAGTGCTGCTCATCTCAGGGTGAAAACTACGATCGAATGGATAATGGGACATCTCGACTACACTACACTGGAATGCTTATCCACCTCCGCCTGAAGGGGTTTTTATAGATACAGAGGAGAAAATGGCGGGGAAGAATAACTGCGGTATGGCGGGAAAGGGTTGGCGGGAAGGGATTGGCGGGCAAATAAGGCGGGAAGGGATTGGCGGGAAAATAAGGCGGGAACGGATTTGCGGGAAAACAAGGCGGGAAGGGATTGGCGGGAAACGGGTGGCGGGAACACATGGCGGGAAACGGGTGGCGGGAAGGGGTGGGCGGGAAACGGGTGGCGACAAAATATATTTCAGCATGAGTCATGCAACTTCAGCCCAAAAAGTGACTTTTCGGTCTAGACTTGACCAAAAAGTCTATTTCGGTCTAGAGTTGACCAAAAAGTGCCTTTTCGGCCAGGGGATGGCCGAAATCTATACTTCAGCCTAAGTGTGGCCGAAAAGTACTACTTCGACCTAACTCTGGCCGAAAAGTACTACTTCGGCCAAAGAATGGCCGACGGGCTACTAGTTTTGGTTTTTTTGCATTACGTCCTATAGTTTCCGAAATTGCTAAAAAAATAACATAGTTTTAAAAAAAATCGAAGCTTTACCCATACATACATACTCCAGAAGCTTCTCCCATCTACTACACCGTCTCCGTGCCTCTCGAACCATCGCTCTGACGTCGACGCCGCAAACCCTTCCTGATTTATTGCCCCCATCGTTCCAGCCCCTTCGCCATTTTTCCCACCTCGCCGACGCCGAGACCCCAACACCAATTCCCAACCGTGCGATTCTCAACTGCAGTCCCAGCCGATCCCATCCGAGCTAGCTCTCCCGTTCCAATCAATGGCGGACCTCTTCTTCGGGGGAAGCCCCTTCCGGCGGCTCCTCTACGCCCGCCCCTTGGCCTACGCCACGGCGGCCATGGACTGGGTGGAGACCCCGACCTCCCACGTCCTCCGGATCAACGTCCCGGGGCTGGGCAAGGACGACGTCAAGGTCCAGGTGGAGGACGGCAACGTGCTCAGCGTCAGGGGCGCGGCGAAGGAGAAGGGGAAGGAGGGAAACGAGGAAGAGGCAGTGTGGCACGTGGCGGAGCGCGGGAAGCCGGAGTTCGCGCGGGAGGTGGCGCTGCCGGAGCACGTCAGGGTGGAGCAGATCAGGGCCAGCGTCGACAACGGCGTGCTCACCGTCGTCGTGCCCAAGGAGCCCGCTCCGGCACGGCCCCGGACCAGGCCCATCGCGGTCTCCAGCAAGCTGTGAGGCCGCCATGGACTGGGTTCAGGAATACTGTCACTGCGCTGTCGGTGTGTATACGAGCGGTGTGCGTTTCACTTGTGAAGTTGTGATCTGAATCAAGTAATCTGATGAATATCGTGTGATGCGGAAGCGTGATCGTGTATGCTTGCTTATGATAAACTGAAACATTTGGGTAGTAATAAAGTTACGGAAATGATAAAATTGATCTCGTCGCGACACTGCAGAAATTTTGATTTCTCTGGGTTCACTGGAATGTGAGCCCCGTGGCGCGGAGCTTGTCGGCGACGATCTCGTCCATGCGGCGCGCCATCTCCGGCGTCATGTGGTTCACCCAGTCGCCGGCCACGCCCTTCCGGAAGAGGGCCTTGCGAGGGAACTTGAGGCCGTCCATGTACCCATTCCTGTTCACCTCCTGGTTCTTCAGGCTCTCGAGGCTGCAGAGCTCGACGATGCCGCGGACGACGCCGGCCTCCTCCTCCGCCTGGGAGAACGGCATGCTAACGAACCGCGCGAGCTTTCTGACGTTCTCGGCGGGGTCCCGCAGCAGCTCCTCGTACCTCAAGAAGAGCACGTTCTCCGGGCCCGACTCGCTCGCGCGCCAGTACCCGAGGATGTGGTCCCAGAACGGCAAATCTTGGGGTTTGTTTTTTGTTACTTTACCTAGTAGGAGATGGCAAATCTTGCAATTTTTTGCCCCCAAAAGTTTCTTCTTTCCTAAAAAAAGAGAAGAAATTGCCGTTTCTGAGGAAATTGTCAACAAGTAGAGTAGTAGACTCGACATCTAAAACGTTCGTAAATGACATGTCTATTTGCGAATGTTCGCAGATAATTGATGTTTATTTTAAGAAAAGGCGTTGCAGCCCAACCCAAAATAATGTACTCTCTCCGTTCTAAATTTTTTGTTTTAGATTTATCTAGATACAGATGTATCTAATATTAAAATATGACTTGATCAAATAGTATGTAGGTTTCTTAATACTAAAATTCTAGCATGACAGTGCAAGTCGGAGTGAAACCTAGAATTCTAGCATGAATTTTAGTATTATTACAGCCAAACCCAGAATAATGTACTCCCTCCGGTGCAAGTAGAATGGCGGGGCCAGCTTGAAAGTTATGTCTGCACAGTCCGTTGTTCTCCAGCCTAGGTGTCACTGATCTCCAATATGGAGATTCCGTGATCCTCTTTAAACTAAGCCACCGGTGTTTGGTAATCTGAAACATAGAAGAGACTGATTAATTGATGCAAATAATCTTTTCTCTTGATAGTTAAGGCAAAATAGGTATGTGTCAAGCTTGATGTATAATTATAAATATATTTTTCTTCTTTTTCTAGTGACATTATGATTGCTCACTCACATGTCTACACTAAAAATATCCATGCTTGCAATATTCACAGCTTCTAGAACCTAATCTTTTAAATCACAAGGAAGATAGCCAACTGTTTTGGGATTAAATGAACTAAGTAATATAGTGATCTTTCACAATTCGCTAAAAGCTTGGCCAGTAGCAAGGATTATATAGATTTTAGAGGGCAACACATTTAATAAACATGCAAAAACAACTACAACTTTTTACATAAAAAGAGTGTATAAGTTCACACCATTTGCATTGCATTTGCTAAATCCTAAAGGAAGTAGATTTTAGAAGAAAAAAAAGATAAGAGATCTTCAATCAAGTAGAGAAAAACGAATGGTTAATTAATCTGCTAGAAGATTAAAATGATTAGAACACGTTTGTGTATAGTTATATATTACAAATTGTCAGTGGAATACTAACAACATAAAAGATCATGGCAAAAACACAATCCTGGAGTAGGATGGTGAGGCTAACAATTATATTACATATCCAATCGTTAGAGCATCTCCAGCAGGCGCCGGTCGCGCCGCGAGTAAAAAACACATATGCCGCGCGCGCATCGGCTGGTTTGGCGCGGCGCGCAGCGCTGGCTTCAACGGCTGCACTAAAATGCAGTGCGCGCGTCGCTCCAGCAGCGCGCGCGTCGCTCCAGCAGCGCGACAAAATGCTGCGCGCGCGACCCGCCGGTGCATTACATATGGCATTTTTCAACACAAAATGATGAACATTTTCAACACAATAAAAATTTCACACAAACAAGTTGATGAAGTTCATGCCCACAAGTTTAAAATCATGCCCACAAGTTCATCCAACTAAGTTCAAAACGCAAATCAAGTTCAATACACAAAGGAAAGACACATCATTCCTCGTCCTCGTCCTCGTCTTCGTCCTCGTCCTCATCTTCGGAAGACGATTCTTCCGCCTTCGAAGATGAATCTTCCTCCCTCTCGCGCACCGCATCACGTGAAACTCCGACGGTGTTGGCAAGATCTTCAACGGCATCTTCATGGGAATGTGTGCGAGGAGGCTCATCGAAAGACATTCCGCCCATGGCGGCCGGAGGTGCACCCATGTCTCCCATGAGAGAAGCAAAACTCATGCCTCCCATCGTGGCCATAGCGTCGGGGGGTGCTCCAAAGCCAGCCATGCCTCCCATTGCACCTAAACCGCCCACGGTACCTCCGAAGCCACCCATGGCACCCATGGCGCCGAGGCCACCGCCACCCATGGTGCCGAGGCCACCGCCACCCATTGCACGAACCATGGCTCTTCTTTGGATCAAGACTTCTTGTTGGGAAAGATTGACATACTCCTTTTGCACCGCATTGAGGTTAGTTGTGTCCAAGAAGAACAAGTGCTTCTCCCATTCCAACAACCTAGTTCGCTCCTCATTGCTCACATTCCTCTCCTCTAAAGCCACCTTCCTCTCCTCGGCCGCCACCCTCCTCTCCTCGGCCGCCAACCTCCTCTCCTCGGGTCGGCGCCGGCGCGACGCCACCCGCCGCC